AAGAAAGCCATGTCAAGGACTCTACCCGATAAGCACAATTTGGATTCTACCCGATAAGCACAATTTGGAGGTAGAGGTGTATCAGGATTCTACTAGGGTTGGTCTCACCTTGCAAGTATAAATAAAAGGAAGACCTGCCTGTTTTGGGTGATGTACTGAGAGAATATACGTCAAGAGAGAATCTTGAGTAAAGATTTGATCAGCCAAGCATATTGAAGGACACATATGGCTGGTAGGAAGAATAACCTTCTGCTTGAAGATTAACGTGCGTTCCAGACAGTTGAATTGAGAAGAGCTGGAGCGTAGGCCAAGAACACGTCTCAGATAAGTAGTTCAGTTTTTCAGTCTCGGTATCTCTGCATAAACAAAGTTTATTGCATCCCATTAAGTTGTAGAGTTTAGATCAATGGATAGATCGAGTTTGTTGTCGTTTAGGGTGTAAACTCTGACTTGATTTAGTGGGAAGGCTGTTACACTGACGTGGGCCTCGCAGACGTAGGAGAAATTGCTCCGAACTACGTAAACAATTTGCGTGTTGTGTGCTGTTTGTTTTTGTTTCCGTCTGTTTATTCAGCAGTTGGTGAAGCACTTTGTTTTATGACTTAGTATCAGAAAGTGCTTGAGCAACCTCTGCGACAAATTGTTTTTCTTAGGTTGCTACAGGTCATACGCTGAGGGAAGTGAAACTTTCAATTGGTATCAGAGCCATTAAAGCTTAAGATATTAGCTTTAAAGATCAAACATGGGAGATATGGAAGAAGGAGCAAATGTACAACGACCACCACTACTAAGAGGACCAAACTACAACTTCTGGAAGGGACGCAGGAAGGCTTTTCTGAAATCACAAGGTGGAAGAGTCTGGAGAAGTGTTGAAACTGGCTGGCAGATTCCCACAAAGACATGTTAGAATAAGTGCCCTTCACTAGAGGGGGGGGGTGAATAGTGAGGCACGAGAATGTTTATAAATTTTCGCGGAATAAAAATCGCAGGGATAAAGTAAAGAGCGGAATAAAAAGGAGTAAAGGGAGCACACCAAGATTTATACTGGTTCACCACAACGTGTGGCTAGTCCAGTCTCCCGAGAGACTCTCTCGAGCTACACTACTTCCGTTAAGCTTACGGGTGCTTAACAAACCGTTACAACTTGAGAACTCGAGTCCCACGAGCCTCAATACACTTGCTCGGAGATACCGCGCTCCAAGACTTCAACCCGAAGGAAAATACCTTTCCTTCGTACAACCAAGGGAAACAAGCTTCCCTAAACGTGTTTACAACACTAAGAACACTCAAGAACAAGACTCTCTTTAAGAGTAGATGTTGAGTAAACTATATACGCTCAAGAACAACTCAAACTTCACAAATTGGCTCTAGAAAGCTATGGAAAATGATGTTGTTTGAATGCAATGATAATATGAATAATGTGAAGTGAATTTGTGTGTAAAGCAGACCCAAAC